TGATACGTAGCTCCGATATGTAGCGATGCAGACAGAAGCGTGTACAGTATGAGCCAATCAGTGGCAGTAATGACAGAGCATGCGCTGTTACGCAAAAACCACGATAGAGTGAAGCCGCGGAAGTCGAAGCGCGAAGTGGCGAGGGTTCACTGTATATATATACTTATATGGGTAAGTTATAGAAAACATTGCAACTAGGGTTTCAGTTCCTACAGGACAACACAGTCTCAGCGCATCACACGCCGTGGCTGGTCCTCGCCATAGGAAATACGGTTTTCACGTCTTAGCCTGGGAGCCAGGGTGGTGTCGTGGTTACCCATTGGGCTGCGATCCACATGGTTGGCAGTTCAAAGCCACCAGCAGCTCGGGAGAAAGACTGGGCTTTCTACTCCCGTCAGCAGTTCCAGTCCTGTAAACCCACAGAGTGTGGCGATGAGTCACAGTGACTCGATGGCAGTGAATTGTTGTTGTTGTTGTTGTTGTTGTTGTTGTTACTTTGCGCCTGAGGACTGTGGCCCGTATGCAAACCCCCATGCGTTGCTTTAAGCAGGTGTGTGCTTGCCAAGTGCGAGCCACAGGGAAGATGTACGCCTGTAAGAAGCTGGAGAAGAAACGCATCAAGAAGAGGAAGGGGGAAGCCATGGCTCTGAACGAGAAGAGGATCTTGGAGAAAGTGCACAGCAGGTTTGTGGTGAGTGTCCCGGCCCCGGTGGCATGCCACACTGCTCACAGTCCCTCGGCCTCGGCAATTCCCAGTGCTGCTGCTCGGCCTGTGTTAGGAGGGGCGGTGCATGGCTGGGCATGCAGGCTTGTTCCAGGTCCGTCTCCCAGCACGACGCAGGCCAAAGGCATGTGTTTCTGCACCACACGGCTCACCTGTTCTGTGTCTGGTCTGCCATCGTCCCCTGGGCCACTTGGTTGCCTTGGCATTGCCTGTTGAAGTTCCTGTGTGCCCTCTCCACATGCTCACTTCTCACCAGTGTCCTCCTGAGCCCCCACCTCACGATGCCTGCTGTCCATCTCAGGGAACCCGGGCTCTGATGTCAAGCCGCTTACAGATACTGTCTCTCTCCCTGCTTCTCTCTTGGGCCCCCTCCCTCCGTCACTTTCCGTCTTTCTCCTCCTCGGACCCTGGCAGGTCTCCGCCAGGCTCTCAGCCATAGCGTCCTAATGGTGTGAGGTCTCAAATCCACCTTCACGGTGTAGAGTCCAGAGTCACCGGCGTTAGGCTGTGTGATGGGTTCTGTGGGTTTGTCCCTGGGCCGAGTCCCTCCACACTGATGCCCTCTTTCCCCTCGCTGCTCCTGGGGTAGAGCCTCATCAGGTGGCCCCCTGTGCTCCCGTCCTCCCTGGCCCTGGGCCCTGGGCGTGCTGTGTTGTGCTGGGGATGCCGGTTCTGAAGCACTGAGCCTCCACAGCCGCCCCTGGCGCCCACAGCACAGTGCGGGTGGTGCTGGCTCAGGCGTAGGCGCTGCCACCCGAGACCCTGTGTCATCGGAGCTGCTGTGAACAATTCCGTGTCACAACCCTGAGCCCCACCCTCTGCTGTCCAGTCAGTCCCACCCTTGATGACCTGATAGGACAGAGTGGACGCTCCTCAGGGTGTCTGAGGTGTAAGAGTTGATGGGAGCAGACAGCCTGTTCTTCCCCTGCAGAGCCACCTTGCAGTTAGCAGCCCAGCCCTCGAGCACAGGAGCCCTTCGCCTATGAGTCCCAGCACGTAGGAGCCTGTCACGCCGCAGCCTTTAGAAAGGGCGGTTGTTACCCGGTTTCTGTGTTCTTGGTCTCCTCAGGGAGCCCAGAAGCTTTCCTCCACCCTGGATCCTGGTCCTCCTCCCCGCTCACAGCCGAGCAGCAGATCCCAGGTCACATTCATGCCCTCTTCTCCACTGCTGTCACCTGAGGCCAACCCACACCGCATCTTCCACTCGAGCCCAGCAGTCTCCCCTCCAGAGGGGAGGGGCAGCCCCAGGAGCCGGGGCCCACGGAGCAGTGGAGCTGCCCCACGCCGGCCGTCAGGTCAAGGACAGCTCGTGGTGACCCTGCCCCAGGACAGGAGAGCTGCCCCAGGCTTTCTCAGGCTTTGTCTCTTTGGAAGCGACTGCCCCACCTCCGTCTCTCCGAGCGGCTGGTGGACCTGGCCGCCAGCTGCTTTGGTTAGCAGCCTAGGGACTGACCCCGGGCCTCCGTGGCCCTCCGTGCTTCTGGCCGTTTCATACTCTTGTGAGATGCCTGCTTGGAAGCCTGGTGTCCACATGGTTGCTATGAGACGGGGGCAACAGGAGAGGCTTGCTAGGATGGCACCCAGACAGCTGTAGGCCACAGAGCAGGGGAGTGGCCTGTGTCCCTGTGTCCAGGCAGATGTCACGGCTAAAGCCACATCGGACACCAGTGTGCCTGTCGGGCCCGGTTGAGCATGTGAACGTGGGCCCAGACCTTGGGAGCACGCCGGGCAGCAGGGCTGCTTGCCCAGCTGTGGCAGGGAGTCAGGTCCTGCCACTCCTGTCATGGGGTAGTGGCACCGTAGGGATGAGAGCCCTGCCCCAGGGAAGACCTGCCTCAGTGAGCACAGACAGGGTCTCTGCTGTGGGCAGCAGAGCTGCTCACTGGGCTGTGGCCCTCCACTGGGCTCTGTTGATGGGCATAGGCAGGGGAAGGCCTGGTGTGTGTCCTTTATCTTCTGGAAGCACCCAGCCCTGGGCTGCTGCTTGTTCACACCTAATGCAGATTCTGGACCACCTCAGCAATTGAGTCTGGCGCCGGCATGAGCACCGGCGGTGTGTCTGTCTGCCGGGTCTTCATGACACTATCGTCCCTAGGTGAGTTTGGCCTACACGTACGAGACCAAAGACTCCCTGTGCCTGGTGCTGACCATGATGAACGGAGGGGACTTGAAGTTCCACATCTACAACCTGGGCCTGCCTGGCTTCGAGGAGCAGAGGGCTGTGTTCTACGCGGCAGAGCTTTGCTGCGGCTTGGAAGACTTACAGCGGGAGAGAATTGCGTACAGGTGAATCGCTCATGAGCCTCCGCCGTGGGCCTGCCGAGCCCCCCCACCTCCTTCCCGGCAGCCCACAGGGCAAGGGCGGAAGGGCATCTGGAGAGGTCACCAATGCTGTTGGAAATGTGGCCCATGGGAGGGCAGCCTTGAGTTTTCAGTACCTGTTGTAAAGTTAATATTTTGGACTTGCTAGTAAATTGTCCAGGAAGCTTGGTGGTGCAGTGATTACTCGTTGAGCTGTGGCCTGCATGGTCAGCGGTTTGAAACCACCAGCTGCCGACTCGGGAGAAAGATGAGGCTTTCTACTCCCGTATAGACTCACAGACTCCGGACTCAGGAACCCACAAAGTGGTTCTGCCCGGTCCTGCAGGGTCCCTGTGAGTCGGCATCTACTCAACAATGGCAGAGAGGGCTTTTGTTTGTTCACTAGATAGTCTTTCCAAAAAAGAAGCTGAGTTTGTATTTGTTAATTTGATCCAATATTGATCGAGTACGTAGTATTCACGTAAACATGGGCAGAGCCTGGACACCCTGGCAGTTCTCAGGAGAGCGGCCATGCCCCAACCATGTACATGAATTAGTAATGTGTCTTTGCATCTCAGGACTGGATCAGGGAGTGAACCTTAGCAGCAGTCATGCAGTGTGCCTGCAGCTCCAAGATGGGCCCCTCGGTCTTGTGCTGGAACCAGCAGCTCCGCGTGGAGACCGTGTCCGCGCTGCTACCTGTGCAGAAGGGGAAACTGAGGCCCTTTGTGGCAGTTTTGTTGGGTTTTCTCCTCCTCCACGAGCTAAGGGTGGGTCGTGACAACTCATTCTTCTGGAATGCTGTAAGATCAGGAACAAAGCGCATCCCCCGTCAAGTGGTTTTTGACTGACGGTGACCCTGGAGGACAGAGTATAACTGCCCCATTGGTTTTCTGAGGCCGGAGATCTTTCCAGGAGGAAAAAGCCTGATTTTTCTCCTGCAGAGTGCCTGGTGGGTCCAAATTACTGATTGTGCACGCAGCGTGTTGGTGTCCGTGCAGGGTGAGGGTGTGTGTGCCTGATAGGTGTGCGTGCAGTGTGTGGTCGCACACACAGGCAGATGAGACATAAGAACCGTGGTGGGATGGCCAGGACCGGTGGGGGCTCCTTGCATTGTCCGTTGGTCGTTGTGGGTCGGAGGGGACTCAGCGGTGCCTCACAGCAACAGCAAACAAACCCTGCAGTCTCGAAGACTTTTCTGTTTCCCCGAGCCTCTCCACGGCTGCACTCCCTGCCCCACGTTGGGAGGTGGGGGTGACTGCTGGGCTGAAACGGGGTCCCCCACCCCTGAGATGTTTTCAGCAGTTGAACACTTAACAGTGATGGTGGAAAGCACCCGCGCGTTTGTCCCTTGCCTCGGGCCTGGGTGGGGCTGCTCTCGCTGTGGCACCTCATGGGGACAGTGGTGGGGCTCGGGGCCCTGGTGCTTGCTTGTTCCCAAGTCACTGAGCTGCTGTGGTTTCCTTCCTCGTAGGGACTTGAAGCCCGACAACATCCTCCTGGATGACCGGGGTAAGTGGGCGGGGCAGTCTCGCTCCAGGGCATGGCCTGGGGTGGGGGGGGAGCAGAGAACACACCGCCCCCCCCCCCAGTCGAGTCCCACTCATACTGAGTGCCACGTAACTGCCAGGCGGGCTCACCGTCTTTCCACCACCTTCCACCAATACCACAATGTGACTTGTCACTTGGGGGCCATTGGAAGACCACAGCAGGGCGGGTGCACCTTGGTGCAGGCACAGGAAAACAACTGGCCGCCAATTTTTAAAGAAACTGACCTACGGCCTCATCATGCTCCAGCAGAGCAGCAGGTGGATTTGAACTGCCCACCTTTGTGTTAGCCGCCCAACACGTAAGCCAGGGCTGTGCCAGGCTCCTTCCTGGTCCTTAGCAGTGCATAAATGGAATTTCCACTCCTAGTGAAGCTGAAGGCATCCACGTCTGCAGAGATCACGTTCAGTGTCAATGGTGCCACTTCTGTCCCTGGCCTTTGATACCATCCTTCCCCATTTCATATCGCCGTGGACAGCGTGTCAGTACTTCCCACCCGGACCTGTGCCTGTGTTTGAACTCCCGCAGGGCACATCCGGATTTCAGATCTCGGGTTAGCTATGGAGGTTCCGGAAGGGGAGACGATTCGAGGAAAAGTTGGCACGGTTGGTTACATGGGTAGGTGAGCCCTCACAGGTGCCCCAGGTGGCATGTCACTTTGCCTCGTCCACTGTCCTCTTCCCCCAGAAGGCTCACTAGAAGAGGCAGGCCAGGCAGCACGCTCGGGACACTGTCATCCCTGCTCGTGCTGGCCTGCCCCAATGGGGTCACTTCCCCACCCTGGGCCCTGGCAGGCCTGGTGTGAAGACCATGACCAGGCAGAGCCAGCCAGGCCCGGGAGGGACCTCCTGGACCGCTGGCTGCGGCAGCGCCTGCAGTTAGGCCCCACGTCCTGCTGCCTGCTGCTCTGATGACTTGCATCTGGCTGGAGCATGGGTGGCCAGTGCCCTGGGGGTCAGGTGTGTGAGGCTAACCTCCCCTCCCCCAGGCTGGCTACTCTGGGTGACCCCAGCTCCGTGTGTCAGAGCTGTCCTGAGTCGTGCTTCCTATGGTGTGTGTGCCCAGTCCATCAGTTCAGACTGGGCAGTCCGCACTCCAGAAAGAAACCCTGGACCATGAGAGCACCCCCCACACACACACACACACACACACTCCTAGGAAGCCAGGCCCCACAGCAGACACGCGGGCTGGGCCGGTGATAACGGCTTTGTCCCGGAGTGCAGTGAGCATGCAGGAGTCCGTCTCTGACACGTGTGCTCACGTGCCATTCGGAGCGGCCCCTGAGTGCGAAGCCCTGACTGCATCCCCCTTCCCGCCCTGTTCCGCAGCTCCGGAAGTTATCAGTCACGAGAACTACATGTTCAGCCCCGACTGGTGGGGCCTCGGCTGTCTGATTTACGAGATGATTGAAGGACATCCCCCGTTCAGGAAGTTCAAGGAGAAAGTCAAGCGGGAGGAGGTGGAGCGCAGGGTGAAGAGCAACAGTGAGGAGTACTCAGAGAAGTTTTCGGACGACGCCAGGTCCATCTGCAGGATGGTGGGTCAGAGCGGTTGCATCGAGGGACGGGCCCTCCGCTTCACCCAGCACTGGGGGGGTCCTTTTCCAGCATGGGGTCGTCCCTGGCGGCCTGCCCAGGGTGAGGGAGGGGAGTGGCCGCCTGGCCTTGCCCGCGTGTGAGGAGGCTCCCGCGTATCTTCAAGACTGATTTGCCCATCCTCGAGCCGTGGGTGGCACCCTCGGGGCTCCTCCCAGCCCTTCCTTCCTACGGGCATCCTTTATGCATGGCCCGGTGCCCGCTCGCCCGAGTGGTGCTTCTGGCTTTGGCAGGTGCGCTGAGGCCTCTCGCAGCAGATTTGTGTAGCAGACTGCACATGCATGCGCATGCACCAGGCACCCGAGGCCTGTTGCAGGCCCTGCAAGAGGTGCCCTGCGGGTGTTTCTAGCAGGGCAAAAGGAACAGGATCCTTGGTGAGGACGGGAGCCCTGGGGGCAGTGCAGTGAAGCACTTGGCTGCTGACCAGAGGGTCCGTGGTTGGAGAAAGATGTGGCAGTCTCCCCTCAGCCAGACACCCGCCCACCTGGTGACGAGGCCTGCAGGGCAGGCCGTCCTGCACGCCTTCTCTGGCTGGAGCCTGCTGGGTGGTGTGGACTCTTTTCCTGGTTGGGATCCTGTGTGCGCGACCTTTGGGCATGGCTAGATCATCCAGATGAACTCCTGTGTAGCCAGGCCGGTGAGAATGCTCACAGCTGAAATGGCGACACACCAAGAACTGTATACATCGTCAGGGGCTGTGGTGAGGTCCCATCTAGTCGGCTCTGACCCACAGAGTCCCCGTGCACAACAGAACAAAACACTGCCCGGGCCCCACCAGCCGCATGGCTGTTCTGTGCCCGGCCCGGCTGTGCATCGATGCACCGTGTCCATCTCCCTGGCAGTGCCCCTCCACTTCACCACACAGGATGCCCCTCCAGCACTCCCCCCTTCCTTCTTTTAATGGAGACCCATGTGTCCTTCGAGCAGCCGTGGTGTTTACCTAGTGAGCACCCGTCTCGGGTCTGGTATAGAGCAGGCCTTCAGGGTGTCAGTATTCTGGTGAAAATATGCCGAAAGTTTACCCACACACCAAGACGTGCTTCCTGCTGCAGGCCCAGTGTTTCTGGACATGGCCTTTCTGACTGGGTGTCCGCGGCCCCAGTCACTGGCCACTGAACAGACCCAAGCACTTCCTGTCACAAGGTCCCCCAGTGCAGCAGCCTCCACATCCCCCATCTGCCCCTTCTGGGTCTACTCATGGAGACCCCAGAGGCAGAGCCGCAGCCTGGCCCCTCTCGCATTCTGAGGGAGAGGCGCTGAGAACGGGGGCTGTGCAGAGGGCACGTGTCTGCCTGTGCTGCTGGAGGTCTCTGGGGGAAGGGTGTCTGAGCTCACCCTCATGTCTGTCTACCCTCATGCAGCTCCTCACCAAGGACCCGAAGGAGCGCTTGGGCTGCCGGGGGCACGGGGCCGCCGAGGTCAAGCAGCACCCTGTGTTCAAGGACATCAACTTCAAGAGGCTGGAGGCAAATATGCTGGAGCCCCCTTTCCGTCCCGATGTGAGTGGTCCCCACCCCCCTTCCCTCCTGCTTCCTGTGGGCCAGCCGCTCCTCAGACCAGGCCCTCTGCCCGCCAGCAAGGTGCTGCCCCTGCAGCCTGGGGTGGGGGGTGGGGGTAGATGGTGAACAAGCAGCCCTGGGGACAGGGACAGGGGGACATACAGTGGGCTCGAGGACACTCTGCGTGGCCTGTTTGAATTGGAGGAGCAGTGGGGGGCGGGGGGAGTGCAGCCTGGGGCCCTCGCCTTGGTGGGCTGAGTGCGGGGGTGGGGGGCTTGCGTTCCCCTTCTTCCATGCGCAGTGACCCGGTGGCAATGGGGGTCCCTCCAGAGTAGAGGAGTCTGGCAGGAGAGAGCACTGGCAGCAGATTGTCACAGAGCCCTCCCTCGTGTTCTGCCCCACCCGCCCTCCCTCACCTACCTCTCCCTTCCTCAAGGGAGCAGGCAGCAGGGGGTTCCCAGAGTCCTTCACACTCGGTACCTGAGGAAGAAAGGGTGGCCCGGAGGGGGTGTGTGTGGATGAGAGCGTGTGTATTTGTGTGTGCCTGTGTGTGGGAGAGAGACAGAGATGTGGGGGTGGGGGCGAGCTGGACAGCAGTTCTTGGTGCCCCTGGCTCTCTGTACCTGAGGGGAAGGGCGACCCGGAGTCGAGGTTCGAGGTTCGTGTGTTTGAGAAAGAAATCAGGGTGAGCTGGGCCCTTACGATGGCCACACCCAGTCCAGGACACTTCCGTCTGTGTGAGAGAGAGGGTGTGTGTGTGTGTGTGTGTGTGTGTGTGTGTGCCGTGGTTGTCCATGCCCCTTACCCTGTACCGAGGAGCCCTGGCCTGAACCCAGCGTCTCACGGCGGCACGTGTGCCCTTGTGCCCAGCCACACGCCGTGTACTGCAAGGACGTCCTGGACATCGAGCAGTTCTCCACCGTGAAGGGCGTCCACCTGGACAACCGAGATGAGGACTTCTACGCCACCTTTGTCACAGGCTGTGTTTCCATCCCCTGGCAGAATGAGGTACTGCCCTCTCGCCGCACCACAGGAAGTGTGACGTGCCTGTGCAGGCTGTCCACTTCAAAGCCACTCTGCATCTGGCCTTCCTGTTTGGGGGAGTAAACTGTGAACACGCTCTGACCCAGGGCTGCACCACGGGCCAGCCTCTAGTCCCGCTTTGGACGCTGCCTCTAGTCCCGCTCGCAGGAAATGGACAATGGTGCCGGGGCCGGCCGGCCACCCTAAGACCTGCGCCCTGTCCAGGGCTGGCCGGGCAGCCAGGGCGCAGCGATAAAGGAGAGGTCACTCTAGTGACTCCAAGAAGACACTGGGGGCAGCGCGGCCGGTGCTGGCCGGTCATATACACGTGCCTCTCCTGCCCGCAGATCATCGAATCCAAATGTTTCACGGACCTCGACGAAAGCGGGACTGAGGACGAGATCGTGTCAGACGTAGAGGAGAGAGCGGGCGCCTCCGTCAAACCGAAGAAGAACTTCTTCTACAGGCTTCTCCAACGAGCGGTAAGCCATTTACGCCGTCGAGACGGCACAGCAGAGTAGACACCTGAGTGGCGCTGGTGACTTTCTTCAGGTTGTGTGACCTCCTCTGAGTGGTCCCGCCCCGTTCACACACATGCCCAGCGCCTCGGCTTCGGCCCCATCTTTCCAGGTGCCGTTGTCAGGTTGGTCCCGGGTAGACAGTTCTTCAGAGAACATCGGGCTCAAGGCAGACCCTTTTCACCAGATAAGCGAAATGACTTCAGAGGATATTTTAGTTTTAGGACTTAAAGATGATTTCAGGGCAACAGTGTAAAGGGTTTGTTTATCAGGAAGTCTGGAGCCCAGGAGGATGTAAACTTCTGTCTTGCACATCCCCCTTTTGAAGACTCTGATCAAAATGTCCGGGACTGGTAGCCGGGCACCTCGAGGCCTTCTGGTCTCAGGCCGGGGAGGCAGTCGCTCACGCAGGCACTGAGCCTCACACCCCGTGTCCTCCTCCCGTGCGCAAGTGTCCTCCTCCCTGGGTTGCGCCAGGGGGGCCGGGAGCAGTGGTGGTGCCTTGGAGGACCGACCTGCATGCGTGCAGGAGCCCAGGCACGATGCTGCAAAGCAGTAGGTAAACCAGAAGGCCATACCATGTCATCCCATCATTGAAGGTCACCTAGTAGTGGATATGTGTCAGTCAGCAGTTCAAAACTGCCAGCCACACCTTGGAGAAAGAAAAGGCTTTCTACTCCCATAAAGAGTTATAGTCTGGGAAACCCCCAGGGCCAATTCTGCCCTGATTCAGTGGCAGTGAGATTTTGTTGGAGGAAACCCTGAGACGCCGAGTGCCCTGCAGGTGTGGCAGGGAGGCAGCCTCTGCTGCTGCTCCGAGTGGCTGTCAGAAATATGCCCAGTCCACTGCCCACAGGGGTGTGGACAGTGTCGTGATGGTGATTTCCATAATGTAATACAGCAAAAGAATACAAATCTTTTTTTTTTCAGTGTCTCTGAGCTGAGACACTTCCTATAGAGTGGGAGCCGGGGGTGCTGGTCGAGTCACACTCCATGCCGAGCCAAGAAGAGGTCAGGGGTCACCAGCCAGCCCCGAGATAGCGCCTGTGGGAAGCTGGGGCAGGGGCCACGTGCTGCACAGCCGGGGCTTACTCACGGGTCCTCGAGGCTCAGCAGCCCCCTTCCCGAGGGAGCAGTGTGTTCACTGGAGCAGCAGGTTCAGTCGTGGCCACGTCCAAACCCACGGGCACAGTCTGCCTGCCCCACGTGCACACCTCCTGGGGCCCGCTAGTGTTGGGAGCCACCGTGATTCAGTGTAGAAAGCAGGCCCAGCCCCCGGGCAGATGGTCCCCAGTGGAGGCCGGGGCAGTGGATTTCCTGGATGGCCCCGCTCCCGGGGGCAGAGCTGGTCCAGAGGCCGCTGCAGCTCTACCGATGCCTGCTGCGCTGTTGCAGATAGCTGCCAACCAAGGGTCTCCAAGAGCATCACAAACATGCCGTAAGGCAGAATTTCCTGGTCCACGCCGATGGAGACGACCCCAGAGAATTGGCAGATTATTCAAAGAGCCGTTGAAGACGCTGTCTGGGTCATGAACAAATACAAGAAACAAAACAGAATCCTGGACCAGAAGCTTGAAGCCGCCCTGAAGATACCAGAGGCCGCTGCCCTCCTGGGACCGACCCCCAGCGCCATCTTCGGAAGACAGGAATTCGCCCAGGCGCTCTGACCTCTGCCCGAGATGGCTCTTCTCGCCCTGTTCCTGACGCCCGGCACCCGTATGACGTGGGGTTTGGGGAGAATGCGGCCTTTCTCTTCTTCATCCTTGCTTCTTTGTGTGCGTCTTTTTCTACTTTTCCCTCAAAGTGATTCACTTATTCTGGAGGTCTCTGAGCCACGCCCTGATGCCCGAGGCGGCCATGGACCCAGAGGGCAGCCTGCACAGGGGCAACAACGTCAGCTTCAGAATCAGGCAGATCCCTATGTGAGCACCCCCCACCCCCCACCCCTGCGCAGCTGCTGGTCCGGGTTTTCAGTCACGCCCCCCCGCCCCCAGCAAAATGGCGGTTCAGGCTTAGATAAGATAGCGTCTGGGAGCCTGGGGTGGTGTTTGTTGCGGGCTTGTGCCCTCGCCGTGCCCTCTTCTTCTGCTTCGAATGCTCCGCACAGCTCTGCCATCGTGGTTAATTGATGGGCTTGTCCCTCGGTGCGGAAGAGGCTGGTGTTCTGTTCCCACATGCAGCCTCAGAGTCCTCCGTGTTGTGGGGTACCTGCCCAGGAGCCCACCATGTCTGCGTGCCCAGGAAAGTAGACCACCTGTCTGTCTGCTCAGGAAGGGGAAGCCCCCGCCTCCCAGGAGTTGGCAAGGGCCCTGCATGTGGTGGGGTGCCTGCAGAGCGAGGAGGTGTCGCAGAGCTGCCATGGGCGCAGAGACTGGGGACCTCTTGGCTTTGCCACCATCGTGGGAGGCAGGAGGGGAGCCAGAAGGGTCCCTGGAGAACTGGCCACCCCAGGCCCAGTGGAGTGAGGAGTCGTCCCCCAGCTGGCTGGCCCCGGTTCTGCTATGAGGGCCTCTTCCTAGCAGAGACTGAAGGCGTGAGAGGGCCTGGGGCATTCCCAAGAGCCAGAGGATGGATCAGCCAAAGATTAGGAAGGGGGTCATGGGGCCTGATGTTCCCAAGAACCTTCTGCCAGAGGGTTGAGCCAGCGAACCTTCGTGTCCTTGTGCCCTTGTGATTCAGACGCATCCGTGTGTATGCAGGGACAGGGACCAACAGCTAAGGAAATAAACCTCTGTTGGAAATCTGTCAAAGAAAGAAAGAAAGCCCACTGGGGGAAGGGCGTCCCCACACAGTGGGCACCGCCATCGTGGCGCCTCCTTACAAGACCCTCCAAGGTCACGTCCCCATGGCCACGCTGGTGGGGGGGCCAACCTGGAGCAGAGGCCGAGCATGGCTCAGGGCAGCAATGTGGCCCGCTGGCTGCTGGCTGTGCAGACCCCAGGGGGCAGCAGCTCTGGTTGCAGAGCAAGAGGACCTGGGGCGCCCAGTGGGTGGGAGCCAAGGAGCCCCCATCCTGAAGTAAGCAGGAGCCTCCGTAACCTTGTTCTCCGCTCAAAGCTCAGAGTGCCAGGTCTAGTCAAGAGATAAAGCTCACGACCCACGGGACCCGGGGCAGGAATGGGAATGGCGCCACCAAAGGGTGGGGGGCGGGGAGAAGAGGAGGGGAGGAAAGGGCAGCCAATCCAATGTTTGCACATGACCACACCCTCCTCCTGGGGGAAGACCAGCAGAACCAGAGGGGAAGGGACGCCGTGATCGGTGTGAGATATGAAAATAATTTATCATCTGTCAAGGGGCCACGAGGGGGTCAGGGAGGGAAAAAAGGCGCTGATGCCAAGGGCTCAGTAGAAAGTAAATGTCTAGAAAAGAATGAGGGCAATATAGACACTCATATGCCTGATGTAATTGATGTATGGATTGTAACGACTTGTCGGAGCCCCCAATAAAATGATCTTTTAATAATTTTTTAAGAAGCACAGCATGCACCCTGGGGCACCCGCACCCTCACACGGCCTCCTGTCTGCCCTGTGTTGCAGGGCTGCCTCAGCTCCAGCCCCAGCAAGAAGGAGGAGGAGCCCACAGCAGTCTGAGGCAGGCCGGCACGTGGAGCAGCCAAGCCACCGCGAGTGCGCCCGGCACTCTGCAGACCTGCCACACCGTCAGCACTCCAGGCCCACCGACCCCCAGAACGCCCCGTGCGCCCATGGACAGGACAGGGGGCTTGGCTTGTAGCGGCCCCCAGTCCAGCGTCAGCCCCGCAGTGTCTCCTGCGAGAGGGGTCAGTGTCTTCGGCCCAGCTGTGATGCTCTGAAGCCTTCGCTCGTTGACATTCTCCCCCCGGGTCTCAGGGGCAGGCATGGTGTCACCCTGGCTTTCCTCACCCCAGGTCCCGGACTTCATGGTGTTTAGAGCCTAATTGAGACTTTCACTCCCACACTGCTGCCCTCGGACCAGGGCGACTTAGGGAAACCCGCTCTGCTCCCGCCCACCCAGGAGATGGGCAGCAGCTCCCTGTGCTCCAGCTCCGGGCGTCAGGGTGGGGATGCCATGGTGACACACACCATCCCCCGCGGTGCCATCAGAGAAAGAGTGTCCAGTCCCGAGTCAGGGCCAGCACAGTGGGAGCTGCAGGAGGTGTGTGGTGGCTTCGGGGGACAAGGGGGCAGGGTGGACGTGAGAAGTGACTGACGGGGAGGAGCCTGGAGACCAGAGTCGCACCAGCGCCTCCTGAGAGATCACTGCTAACACACCGCATGTTCTCAGGTCAGCGCAAGTGGCTGGTCTTGAACCAAAACTCCAACCGCCACCCGAACCATCATCACCCGTCCCCTCACCAAATTGCCCCCCTGCTGCCCACACAGTGGCCGGCCATTCTTGTAAAGCCGCGTAATCAGAAAATAAAGTGTGGACAAACCCTGCCCGCCGCCTTGTTCCATGCACGGGCTGCAGCTGGGGCCCCAAGCACAGCTGTGTGTCACCTGCTGGACGGAGAGCAGACACTCGGTAAATGGGCACCCAAAGCTTGGCCAAAGGTCAAAGGTAGCAAGCAGCTTCTCAGTCGATGAAAATACTCCTCCAGAAACCAAGTCTTTTTTTTTTTAAATCATTTTATTGTGGGATCATACAGCTCTTATCACAATTCATACACACATCCACTGTGTCAAGCACATTTGTACATTTGTTGCCATCATCATTTTCAAAACATTTCTTTCTACGTGAGCCCTTGGTATCAGCTCATTTCCCCACCCCCTCACCCTCCCTCTCATGAACCCTTGATAATTTATAAATTGTTATTACTTTTTCATGTCTCACACTGACCGATGTCTCCCTTCACCTACCTTTCTGTTATCCATCCCCCAAGGAGGGGGTTAGATGTAGATCATTGTGATTGGTTCCCCCTTTCTCCTCCCATCTTCCCCTTCCCCTCCTGGCATCACTACACTCATTATTGGTCCAGAGGGGTTTATCTGTCCCGGATTCCCTGTTTGCAGCTCTTATCTGTACCCGTGTATATGCTCTGGTCTAGCCGGATTTGTAAGGCAGGACTGGGATCATGATAGTTGGGGGAGGAAGCATTGGTGTCATACTGTACCCTGACTGGCTCGTCTCGTCTCTTCCTTGTGATTCTTCTGTAAGGGGATGTCCTGTTGTCTACAGATGGACCTTGAGTCTTCACTCTGCACTCCCCCTCATTCACAATGATATGACTTTTTGTTCTTTGATGCCTGATACCTGATCCTATCGACACTTCATGATCACACAGGCTAGTGTGCTTCTTCCATGTGGACTTTGTTGCTTCTGAGCTAGATGGCCG